AGAGGGTTGACTGCTTTGCAAAGCCGCTGTAATTTATCCGGCGCTGAAAACACCACTTTGACGCTGGATTTCTTCCCTATCTTTTTTAGCCGGTGGGAAATGTCATGCACGTAGGGTAAAACTACGGGTCTTTTACGGTCGTTAGATTCCGGCTGAGCCTCGGAGTTGCAGCCTTTCTTTATCTGTTTTAATAGCTTTTCAGCTATTGATGCCAGTAGGATCGCTGGGTACCCAGCACTCAAAAGCCTTTCAGCTTGAGCTGCAATGCTGCCCTGCATGACATGATGACACGATTTCCTAAGAGGATTGATGAGAGAAAGATTTGTGATGCTGCGCTTAACTAACTTGGAATGGGAAGAGTCATAGGGTAAAAGGGGTTTTCCATTTCTAGGTTCAAATAGCGAGCACACATGGTCAGGTGAAAGAATTAAATTCAAATCTAAAAAGCGTAAGCTATTGTCAACTGGCAACTTGTGAGTCAATAAAAGCGGTTTAAAACATTCTTTAAAAGTCATTACAATACCGTCGGTTAGGTGCTGGCAGGCAGCATCGCTGCAGTTAATGAAAATTAAAAAGTCGTCTACGTAACGACATATTTTGGTGACAATATTTTGGTCCAGCATGCTCATCAGCAATTGGTCATGATGTGCAAGGTATATGTCACTAAGGATCGGGGCGAGGCATGACCTTATGCAGACACCACTATTCTGTATGTATTTACGATCATTAAAAGACACAAAAGTCGACTTGATGTAAAAGGACAGAAGCTCTAAGAGGTTACTGTTATGGACACCCGTGAAATTCTGGAAGGCTACAGCACCAAATGAGTCAATGGCATTGTTAAGAGACTGTAACAACTTCTCATGCGGCAAAGAGTAATACAAATCTTTTATATCGACCGAAAGTGCTTTTAAGCCCCTGTCGTTATGTTCCAGAAAGTTAACCACAATGTCCGAATTCCTAATTAAAAAGGGGTCATCGATGGTGAGCAAATTAAGTTTTTCTTGCAGAACTAATGCCACAGTTTTTTGCCATGTTCCTCTCTCTGTCACATTTACCCGCAGAGGGCAATCAACCTTGTGTGTTTTGACCATAAAGAACACATCAAGGCTAAGCTTTTTGCACTTATCCACTGCTTTGGCAAGTTTTTCGAAACCCAAGGTGGCACACAGTTTTTTTGCCTGGGGTATAACTTTGCTGAGGAAAGTGTCATCCTCAGCTCTAAAGACGGAGTGAACAGCTGTGGTCGCTTTCTCAATAAATAAGGAGTTCGGTAAAACGACAAAACCTCCCTCTTTGTCAGAAGGTAACAGAGCTAGTGAATTGTCTTTTAAGTGTCCCACGACTTTCCTAAATGGCAGTTTTTTGGTCGAAGGCATGAAACGCGAAACCACATCAACGCCGTCGGCAACACACCTGTCCCTTTCACCCTCAGGAATCTGTCGAGCCACTTGCCTGACGTAGGTGAGCAGATCGTACGGCGAATTGGCTGGTTCCATGGCGAACTTCGGTCTGCGGCACAATATGCGTTGAACCGCTTCAGGGAGCACAACACCGTCCAGAGTGTGTACAGGGTTGCGCGTTGCAGTCACCATGAAGTACAGGGTTGCGCGTTGCAGTCACCACTTTTTAATTTTCATTGACTGCAGCGACGCTGCCTGCCAGCACCTAACCGACGGTATTGTAATGACTTTTAAAGAATGTTTTAAACCGCTTTTATTGACTCACGAGTTGCCAGTTGACAAGAGCTTACGCTTTTTAGATTTGAATTTAATTCTTTCACATGACCATGTGTGCTCGCTATTTGGACCTAGAAATGGAAAACCCCTTTTACCCTATGACTCTTCCCATTCCAAGTTAGTTAAGCGCAGCATCACAAATCTTTCTCTCATCAATCCTCTTAGGAAATCGTGTCATCATGTCATGCAGGGCAGCATTGCAGCTCAAGCTGAAAGGCTTTTGAGTGCTGGGTACCCAGCGATCCTACTGGCATCAATAGCTGAAAAGCAATTAAAACAGATAAAGAAAGGCCGCAACTCCGAGGCTCAGCCGGAATCTAACGACCGTAAAAGACCCGTAGTTTTACCCTACGTGCATGACATTTCCCACCGGCTAAAAAAGATAGGGAAGAAATCCAGCGTCAAAGTGGTGTTTTCAGCGCCGGATAAATTACAGCGGCTTTGCAAAGCAGTCAACCCTCTCAAATCACGTACCACTGGTTGCGCAACTAAGCACAAAACTCGGTTTGTGCCGTGTGTAGCGGGGGTTGTTTACGCGATTCCATTCTCATGTGGTATGTGGTATTTCGCCAAACGGGGCGACGCCTTAATGAAAGGCTAAAAGAGCACCATTATAATGTTCACAAAGCAATTCAGGGCCACAGTGGAATTCACTGCCGCGATTGTGGATGTACCCCCATGTTTGATCAATGCGAAGTGGTAAAAAAGCACCCGTCACAATTAACTCGAGAAATTATAGAAGCGCATTGTATAGCAAGAGCTGGCAGCACGTGTATTAGCGCCCCTTCTTTGGTTTTATCGGAACATGAAGTGGCCTTCCTTAATCAGGATAACCGCCTATAAATCTGTGATGTGTGACGGTGTGATGTTGTGTGTTATCTTGTCGTTGCGTTGGGGTGGTTTTGTAAGCTTGCGCCGGTCTACATATTTGATGCAGTTTGACAATAAAGCTCAGTTGGAAGTTAGCGCTCTGTCCTCTTGTGTCGGTCTGCTCGGCCGTTTCTTCTTCCCCATGATGCGCTATACCAGTTCAAGTACGAGGAACCAACTCGCCCAATCTTCAACACTCGTGAGTTAAGTCAACACAGATCCTTACTGCTCCAGACGGCTTCATTACAGGAACGATAGGCGTGCACCATTTTGTCGGTTCGTCGACCTTCTGTATCATTCCTTCTCGTTCTAGCCTGTCCAGTTCTTCTTTACCTTTTTCTTTCATGAGAATAGGAACCCGTCGCGGTGTAGACAGACTGTACGGGATTGCATGTGGCACAAGGCGTATGGTGTGTTCTCCCGATATGGTACCCGTGCCTTGGGATATCTTGGGATACTTGCTTCCGATATTGTCAGCAGTGTCTAATTCATCTAGGAAGCAAACGATTCCCAGAGCTTTTATGGCTGGTAGTCCCAACAAGGGCGTGCGCAAGTTCTGCACGACGTAAATGGTTTGTTGTGAACAGCTGTCTTTCCAAGATATTTTAGCGTCAAACTTTCCGATCGTACGGATGCTAGTATTGCTAGGTCTTTTAAGATCGGCTGCGTTTTCCGGCGAAGGCGGAAGAAAAGGATAATTTTCACCGACGACTGCCACTTCGGCTCCCGTATCTACTTTCATGCGGAGCGTCTGGTCTTTACCGTCATGAAATGTTCAGATTGTGTGTTCGCACACTGCTCGACCGTGCCTATAAACTTGTCATTAGCTTCGGCGATGCTATCGAGATTTGTGTTTTTTTGCTTCTTTTTTCGGCATGCCTTTGCATAGTGGCCCAACTTCCGGCAAAATCTGCACGTTTCTTTTTGCGCTGGACACTTGTTTCGCGGGTGAAATGGTCCGGCACAATAACTGCAGTTATTTTGATGATAAGCGGGCTTCTGACAGTGAGTAAACGTGCTCTTTGCAGCGGCTTTCTTGAGCTTCACTGCGGCAAAGCAAGCTTCTGGGACTGTGCCCTCATGCTCTTTTAGTTCTGCTTGCTGTTGCTTTACGGTTTCGCTCGTACGCGCTCTTCCCAAAGCAGTGGCCATCGTTAGCTTGGGGTCCATCTGCAGTTCTTCCGAAAAAACCTGGTCCCGTAGTCCTACTACGAAGCGGTCTCTTATTAGGCGTTCCTTCATGCCTGTGAACTCGCATCTGTCGGCTAACTTGCTAAGCTCGGTTGCGAACTGGTCTACTGTTTCTCCCAGTTGTTGGCGGCATAGATTAAAGTGAGCACTTTCGTAGAATATGTTCTTAGTGTGGACAAAGTAGTCGTTAAATTTAGACTTTACGAGCTTGAAGTCCTCCATTTCTTCGTCTTTTACGTTTAGCGACCGAAGAATCTCCCTCGACTTTCTGCCCATAGTATAAAGAAAAGTCCTTACTTGAACTTCGTCTTTTTTCTCGAGTAGCCCAGACGCGAATCTGTAGTCGTCAAATTCGTTCATCCAGGCAGGCCAGTCCGCTGCGTTCTTGAAGTCGAAGAGCTTAGGAGGCTTGATTCCCAAAATTCTGAAGCGTTGTCGCCGATACGGCTTGTTCTCGTAGACGCAGCTGCCAGTCGCTCACTTGTTGACGGGGCCGTTGAAGCGCTAGTTGGCTACATCGGAACCACTTCTGACACCATGTCAAGCTCGTCAGAGTGATCGACAGACGCTCTTTACATCGTGACCAAGAAAAAAAAGCCCTCTTTAATGTTTCGTCGTAAAATATATTTAGTCAGAATGATCACATGACTCCCATGATAACCGGATAAAGGAAACCAAGATAGCGCGAGTCTTGGCGCTTGTCTCTGGAGCAGGCGGTCACGGAATCCAGCAGGATGACGTCACAGTTTATCGTCGCCACAACAGCCTCACCGCACCCTCAACCTCCTCCCTTGTCCTCCCCCCCTCTTTCGCGGCGCCACTCTATGCGTGTCGCGTGGTTGATATCATGCGATTGCCTGGTTTTCTCAGGTTTAGAAACCGTCGCCCACGTGTCGGATATGCTTTGCGAAATTTGCCAGCAGCCCACCACGGTCCTCAGCCCGGCGAGCCATCTATCGGCACATCGCAAACGAGAACATAATCGGTCCCTTCTGGCCAAGCGCTCGCTTCGCGGCGTTCGCTCAACTAAAGTATTTTTGCACCGTGACCTAGACAGCACATTACTATTTTATGCTCACTGTATTGGTGATAAAACGTACGTTACGGTAAAGACGTGTATAACAACAAGGACAACACCAACAACGATAATAACAATTATCAATATAGTATTATAATTGTTAACCTACATACAATACTTACCAAATTTCCTGAGAGGCTTCGAGGACCCCAACGATGAACGATTCCTGAGGCATCTGCATCGACCAAAATGCGGAAGTGAGAAAACTAGAAACTCCTCTTCAACCGTGACACTGTTAAAAATATTAGATGAGATGAGAGTTTTATCAGCTCAAGAAACTCCCATGCCGGAATCATTTACTTCGTTCGCGGAGTGAATATGAGATATGTCCTTATTATACTCTTACTAGACTAAGGGAGTCTATAAACATGAACTTATAGTCCCCACAGAGTATCTACTCATGTGGTTAGAAACTCCCCATGGGAAATCCTCTTCCCCCTCCCAAAAAACACTATTGCAGAGACAGACGTAGATGCGGCCACGTATGCGCGTGGCCGCATCTGTTTATTTATTTATCTAGTCAATAGTACCGACTTCTATGCGAGGTCGTAGGCAGGAGTGGGCATGTATGTATGCGTTTTGTATTATATTTTAAAATGCAAGAAAACAACAGGAAGGACTCATAGCCAAAACAATGCGTCGAGGAAAAAAATCTAGAAGAGCTTTAATTTGATACATCGAACGCGTGAGCTAGTGTAACACGATTTTTTTTTTTTCATTTTGCACAAAATGGGCAAGTTTTGCCTAAAAAAAGGCACGAGCGACTGATAAATCGACACGAGAAAAAATGAGGAAAATGACAAAATGACACAATGGGCAAATAAAAACTTAAAAAATTAGACACCTAGTAATACGGGACTTTTTAATACTCTGCAGTAATTTGTTCTTCAGCGTACAAATTATTTTAAATTAGGGAACCCTTAATCTTTGCCTTAAAGAGTTGAACACGATAGCAACAACCTGTTCCTAGTGCGTACATCAAACACTCAGTGCATGAAACCTTTTCGAATATGCTATGCACCCCCTCTACGTCGCCATAATGTAATAGGCGCAGTAGCGTGTCTGCCTTTTGTAATGCGTTACCGGCTTTCAACCACAGAGACATTATGATAACCACAATTCTGACGCCCATTGGCAATGCACGCTTGAGCCACGCATTACTACTGCAATATTTCATGATGCATTGTGAAGCATGTATACAGGACGCGCGTGTTTGTGAAGCATGAAAGCTACTTTCCTAGCATTTCCAAGCTGAGGAAGTTCTTTTCACTGTTTTCATAAGCCGAGGCGTGGCCGTGAGGTGAAACACCAGCTTGCCAAGCAAACGGCCTGGGTTCGATATCAACTTAGACCTAAATAAGCCAAGTTAAGTCCCCACTCTGCTTCGGTTTTTTTTTATCATTTTATTTCTTTTCTTTGTATCACTCCCCATTGTTCGGTCACGCATAAGACGATTTTTCGCTTACGAGCAACGACACTGACACCAGAATTTCTGCGAAACGAGCTTTTTAAGGCTATCCCGTTAAAATAAAATGTGCCCACAAAGCAACATACAAACGAGCTAGCGCCTAATATGGCAAAGCAATACAACCCAGACACGCAGAATAAATTAGATTCAGTGCCAATGATTATATTTATATTAACAACAACAAATCCATTAAACGATAGTCGGAAGATGCACTATATATATCACATTCATAAATGAAGAAAGAGTTGCGCATGGTGTAGCTTTATTGGGCAGCCCGTTCCAACGACGCACTGTTCGAGCAAAGAAGAATTTTTCAAAAGTAGTGATTTTACATGAAAGTTTTTTAGCTTTTTCGCTGTGGTGTGACCGTGGTATTGGTGATTTTGACGGTTCAATATATTCGCCTACATCGGCTTTTAGCGATAGATCATATGAAGTCTGATCAGTCTTTTACAGGCACGCCTGCGTTCTCAGGTTCCCAATTCAGAGCTTTCAGGAGGGCTGAAGAACACGTACCTCTACTGTAAGCATTGTAGATAAACTTAACCGTTTTTTTGATACACATTCCAGATTTTTTTAATATTTGCTAATGTGTGAGGGTCCCATACAGCAAACGCGTATTCCAGAAAGGGTCACACATAAGTTTTGTACGCCAAAATTTCAATTTCTTAAGTAGTCTTGCGAGAGACTTTTCGTTAGTACCCAAATGTTTTCATTGCCTTTTTTTCGTGTGTATTCTATGTTTTCATTGCACCTTAAATGAAGGTAATTATAACATCAAAGTATTTATGGCTGTGAACAAGAGATATATTGGTATTATTATTAGAATAAGTGAAAGTGAAGGGATATTTCTTACGTGTAATTCTCATTGCGACAGTTTATTTTTGAAATAATTTTCATCCGCCAGGTGAAACACTATGAGTTTATTGTACGCACGAATTTGTATGCCTCTGCAATATCTGTACTGTCAGTTAGATATGTGTTGTTTATTAGAAGAGCAAATGAGGCTTCATTTTTAGTGCAATATGATGCCAGAACTTTGCGAGAGATGAAAGCAAAAAGTTTGTTAAAGACACTTTCTGATAGTGGTATTTAGCTTTTGTAAGTAGGCCTTTGGGTTGTACATGCAATCTTTGAATTTTACCGGTGCTGTTCATTGAGTGGCATTGTTTGTGCTGTTTTCTAGCTTTATTCAGCTTACAACCTAATTGTATATTTATTTTGTTGTCCAGATAATAACTATTCGCAGAAATTTATGTTTACATGGAACGTATTCATGTATGCATTTGACCACCGATTCTTCGAAAATACCATAAGTGATCTACTGAATGTAAGCAGATTCGTGAAGTCAGAAAAACTCAGAAAAAGGTTTGTCCATATGATCTAAACTGTCGACGTCATTGGCATGAGTAATGAGAGAAGTCTTTTTTTTTTTTGAACCTATTGTTTTAGGGGCGAGGCTCCTTAGGGTCGAGCAATGTCCTTTGTTCGTCGACGTGACACGTTTGGCATATAACCGTTCTAGAGCGGGTATGTGCCACAGGGGACCTGAGATGCGAAATGACGGCACTTAGAGTGTCCACTAGGTAGATACACAGACGGACACACGAATGGACGGACAAGTTGAAGGCCGCTTCGCCACACTCAATATCATTCAAGCCGTGGCAATGCTGAATTTTTTTTCTAAAACCTATAATCGCAGTAGGAGACACCATTTTATGATCAGATATGCCTTCAAGTACCTCAACCTGTGTGTTTCGACGCATAATTCCACTGTTGACAAGAGAAAAGTCTAGAAGTAGGTATTTATTTATTTATTGATTTATTATGAAATACCTGCAGCGCACGAGAGCATTATTGAGGGGGGGAAACACACAACGTAAAATACCCTTACACAAGAAGAACTATTCGAAAACAAGATGGTCACAAAAAGAGATCATAAAAAATGCAGCTATGACAGTATAAATATGTCCCTCGAAGATCCTTCAGTGCGGCAGTCAGCAACCTCCTGTGGGAGCCAATTCGACTGGGAGATTGTGAGCGGAAAGCAAAAAAATTTCTCCTAATTTTAGGGGGTGGTCAGTTCTCTTGGATAAAAAATGCAGAGGTGAAAGATAAGATTATCTATTTTGATCAACCTATGAAATATTTTGAAAGGCATTTCTAGTCTCAAGTGTTTCCTACGTAATGCCAACAAATCCCACTCGAACCTATCTTTAAGGGCAGTGACATTGACACTGAAGTCGTTGTTGCTGGTCACAAAACGAGCTGCAGGGTCTTGATTGATCTTAAGTATATTAACAAAGTTTTTCTTTGTGGGTCTCATGCCACACAGACGTACTCTTAGGTTGGTCGTACATTCGAAAAGAAGAGTAGTTCTCTGATTTTGGGAGGAGCTAACCGGAAGTTTTGTTTAACAAAGTTTAACATTCTGCAGGATCAAGCTGTGACATATTCAAGGTATCAGGCCAGGTAAGATTTGAAGAAAAGTAAACACCAGGGTATTTATACTCAGTTACTCGCGTAAGCCGGATGGCGTCTAATGTATAATGCAAGAGGTATGGGTCACGTTTATGAGTGAAGGAGACGCGCTGGCACTTCTTAGCATTCAGACTCATACGCCACTTATCACACCAGTACGTAATACCGTCTAAATTTCGTTGCAAGTAATGATGGTGCAAGGTGGATCTAATACAGTGATAAATCACACAATCATCTGCATACAGATGTACTTTGCATGACACATTCTGAGCAATATCGTTAATGTACACCAGCAAGGGTCCCAATACAGACCCCTGTGAAACTCCCGAAGTAACAGAAACCTATTCATATTAGGAACCATTAATTACAACACGTTGCAACCAGTCTTGTAGATAACACCTGATCCAATCAAGCAATGCAGGAGTAATACCGAGGCATGAGAGTTTATGTAGCAGCAGAACATGGGGTTCGGTTGCTGCTCCTTTGAGTTCGAGTGGGCTCTTTACCAGTTGCATTAAATTGTCAAATAAAGTGGGCTCTTTACCAGTTGCATTAAATTGTCAAATAAAAAGAGGTCAACAAGTGGTTTGAAAAATCTGCAGAGTTGATCAGAAAAATTTTGAGGCTAGTTTATTAGAAGTATATTGAAGTCACTGCCTAATAGCAAATTGGATGCATTGTTTCGATATCAGCAAAAAAACTTATTTATTCATGAAAGAACGTCTTATCAGTGTTCGGGGCTTGGCAGAATCCTCCAAATATTAGATTAATTTCATCGAAGGAAACTTTTATAATCACACATTCAACTCCAGGAATGCCCGGTAGCCTCAGGGCGTTCAATGATATCGAAAATAAAAGAGCTACTCCACGGCCTCCGGAGGCTTTGTCGCGCCTATGGATCTTGTAGTAAGCAGGTGTGGTCTCACATCAGGTATGCCGTTGTGATGGCAGGTTCCGGTTATGAATACTACGTGAGGTTTGTGCACAATCACAAAGCTTTCCAGGTCATGTATTTTATTTAAAATGCTGCGAGTATTTACATTCAGGGGCTTACACCCTTTTAGCTGCCTATAACGACATTTAGTCTATCGGGCTTTATCAGCATCGTCACAAACCTGCACCCTTCTGGAATCTTCGCAAACCTGCACCATTATAAGTTTCGTCCCACGTGTACAGCCAGCCGTCAGCACCTCAAACCACTTGAACGCTTCAATGCGTAGCCTCGG